TGGGGTGTGGCTCAGTGGTAGAGCCCCTGCCTAGAATCCCCCGGTGTGGGGCTGGGGTGTGGCTCAGTGGTAGAGCCCCTGCCTAGAACCCCCCAGTGAGGGGCTGGGGTATGGCTCAGTGGTAGAGCCCCTGCCTAGAATCCTCCAGTGAGGGGCTGGGGGTGTGGCTCAGTGGTAGAGCACCTGCCTAGAATCCCTCCATGAGAAAGTGGGTCTTAGCAGTAGAACACCTGCCTAGAATTCCCCCATCTAAAGGCTAATAGTGGAGGCTGGAGAGGTGGCTCAGGGGTTGAGAGCACTGGCTGCTCTTCCAGACGACCTGGGTTCAGTTCCCAGCAACCACATGGCAGCTCACGTCTGTCTGTAATTCCAGTTCCAGGGCTTCTGACACCCTCACACAGACATACTTCCGGGTAGAACACCAATGAACATGAGATAAGAAATTATTATATGTATTTTAGAAGAAGCCCATTTTTAAAAAGAGAAGAAATGGTCAGAGTGCGGTGTCGCCATAGGGCACTCATCTAAGTCCTCTGCCTGCCACAGGGCTCAGGCCAGGGCTCAGCAATCAATCAGCCTCCTAAAACCTGCCAGTGAGGTCCAGAATTCTCCAGGGAGAAGCTGGGGGCACGGCTCAGTGGTAGAGTATTTGCCCAACACATACAAAGCCCTGGTTAAACCCCAATATCAAAAGGAAGGGTATGAGCTTTCTGCCACAGGAGGAACTTGGGGTCAGAACTCTGGGGTCACTCTCAAGGCTATAGTGAGCCTTAGCCAGCTTTGAGGACAACCTCTGTTTTACTGCCTGTGAATTCTGCTCTTGGTGCAGATTACATAAGCTGCCCAGTCTCAGGCTTCTGTCTAAACTGGGAATCATCTCTGTATAAGGTCGTAAATTAAATTATGTTTGTGGAGCATCTATCCCAGGCCCCACGTTCAGTGAGAAGTTCCCTTCGTAAGCTTCTGGATTTTTCCTTTCCTTTCCCGTCAGCCTGAAAGGACCGTTCTGCATGTATCAGAGTTGTAAGTAGTTTAACACCTTCAATGACTTTACGTTCAGATTATGGTGGGACCAAAGACTTCTTTTGTTTTAGAGACAGCATGGCATGCAGCCCAGGCTGGTCTCATATTTGCTGTGTAGTCCAGGATAACCGCGAACCTGGGATACTCCTGCCTCTACCTCCAGAATGCTGGGATTAAAGGCGTGTGTCACTACAGCTGTTGTAGGCAGTGCTGAGGATGGAACTCAAGGTTTTGTGTGTGCTAGGCACACGCTCTACCGACTGAGACACATCTCCCATCCCACCAAGGGTTTCCTGACACACAGAGTGTCCAGTGCTAAGATAGGCCCAGCCTGTGGCCATGGGTCCTGGTCAGTCACTCTAGACCAGATGTCCCCTGCCACTCCATGTTGAAAGAGCTGAGCCGAGCAGGGGGTGGAGGGGTCAGCCCCTGGGGACAGCAAGGTCTCACCCCCCCCTGCCCCCGTTCTATCTCCCTGCAGAGGGCTACTACCTGCACATGGATGCCAACAACTTCCCTCGGGGCGGGGAAGTCTTACAGAGTGACTGTTTTAGGAGCTACTGGAAACCAGGAACCTCAAATCACGAGAACACAGGATCCTGGTTGCTGAGCTGTCTCACCCCTACTTTGGAGAGTTCGACAGGGGTAAGGAGAGGGAGAGAGGCGCCTGAGAGGGACAGGAACTCACTCCGGTTGCAGGTACCCCGCCGGATTGAGAGGCCATCCAGAGAGATGTCCAGGTAGGCGGTATTTCCCCTCATGCCCTCAAACATCAGCTGTGGAATTAGGAACAAAGAGACCCTGACCCTGTGGGTCACGTGATTGGCTTCCCTTCTCTGTGGCTGCTGGATTTCCACCCTGAATTCAGATGGCTGGGGATCCAGGTCTCTTTTTAAAAATTCCACTCATATTGACAGCACATGGCGGAAATGTGCGAGTCAGAGGATGTTTGGGGAGTGGGTCCCGGAGATTGAACTCGGGTCACCTGAACTCAGGCTTGCTGCAAGAAGACTGCATCACTGCCCTCCAGGTCCCCCCTTTGCCACAGCCTACCTTCCTGAGCCCCTCCCTCCCCACCCCACCCCACCCCCCACCCCTCTCTACCAGATCTGCTCTCGACCTCACCCAGCTTGGTATATCACGGTCTGCTGGCACAGTGACAGCGGTGGGCATCCAAGAGGGACTCTGGGTGTTCAAGTGTTTCCAGAGCACGTTGGGCCGGGGGTGCTTCCGGCCCCTGAGCAGTAGCAGTCTGAGCTGGGCACCCCATGACAGCCCAAACATGTGGTAGGCGAAACGGATGCAGAGTGGACCTTGCTCCCATATGTCAGGGCTGCGCAAACGAGCCACCCCGCCCCGAGGGAAGTTGTTGGCATCCATGTGCAGGTAGTAGCCCTCTGCAGGGAGATAGAACGGGGGTGGGGTGGGGGGCTGAGACCTTGCTGTCCCCAGGGGCTGACTCCTCCACCCCACCCCCCTCCCACCCCTGCTCGGCTCAGCTTCCAGCAGTCCCCTCCCAGCTTTTATCTCTTCTCCACTGTCCTCCAAACTTTAGGCTTCCCCTGGGACGCATTACCTCCATTGGGGTAGCCCCCTGGGGGGCCAGAAGTACCCGTGCTGGAGGGCCCAGTAGTTCGAACCCAGTCCCCATCATCTGCAGACATTTGAGACCAGTCACAGAAAGGTCTGGAATTATCTTCAAAGTCACACTTCGAGACAATGGCTGTGAAGAAAAGAGCCTCAGTGAGGCCTCAGAAAGGGCAGAGGGGCCGGGGTCAGGTCACAGAGCCCCACCGAGAGATGGGGTCAGCAGGGTCACTAAGCTTAGAGAAGGCCACCGCTAAGAGTTCAGATCCGGAGCAGAGATGAAGGAGACAGAATTCCTGGGGAGAAATGTAGAGCTGGGGAGGTGAGTGAGTGGATGATGGAATCCAGGAGCACAAACTGGAGTCTGGATGGATTCAGTCAGACAGGCCTTGGCTTGGCATGTGTTTTATTGTGGCTTTTATTATTATTTTGGTGTGTGTGTGTGTGTGTGTGTGTTTGAGTCCACGTGAATGTTGCACATGCATGTAGAGACTAGAGGTTAGCATCAGGTGTCCTCTTCAATACACCTTTATGCTTTGAGAGAGGGTCTCTTGTGACCCAGAGCTCACCAGTTCAACTACTCTGCCTGGCCAGGGAACCCTAGAGATCCTCCAGTCTCTGTCCCTCTTGTGCTGGGACTAGAGGGTGTGCTGCCAGCCCAGTTGTTTGTTTGTTTGTTTGTTTTGAGACAGGGTTTCTCTGTGTAGCTTTGGACCTTTCCTGGAACTCACTCTGTAGACCAGGCTGGCCTCGAACTCACAGAGATCTGCCTGGCTCTGCCTTCCGAGTGCTGGGATTAAAGGCGTGTGCCACCACCGCCCAGCCCAATCCAGTTTTTTACGTAGATACTGGGGATTGAACTTTACCTGCTGAGTTACCTCCCAGCATCTCCTCCCCCTTAAGATAGGTCTCATGTTCCCATGTAGCCCAAGGTGGCTTTGAACTCCAGGTCCTCCTGCCTCAGCCTCCTGAGAGCTGGGATTACAGGTGTGTATTATAATACCTAGCCAATTATTTTGTTATTTTGAGACCAGGGCTTGTTACTGTGCAGCCCAGGCTGGGTTTGAACTTAGGATCCTCCTGCTTTGGCCTCCCCAGGGCTGGGGCGACAGGCCTGTGCCACCGTATCTAGGGCTTGTCTATTGAATCTGAACGGGCGTCTCTCAGATGGAGCCTGACAGTGTTTCCCACTCTTCTGTCGGCCCTTGGCTGTTCAGGAGCTGCCCTTAGCACGTTTATCCCGTGTGGCACCCCATAACCATCCCCGTGCTAGGGCCTGGAGTTCACAGTTCGAGCATGGATCGTGAGGGGGGGAAAGGAGGCATGCGCAGCCCTGGTTCTAACTCACAACTCTCCCTCGAAGTGTGCACCATCGCTTTTGGGTCCAGAGAGTTCTGTCTCCTTGGGATTGGTTTGGAGAAAGCAAAACACATTATTTTTGTCATTACTAAAATTATCATATGACTATGATTTTTTTTACTATGATTATATTTTGATCCTCCTTCCCTCCCCCTCCCTCCCCCTCCCTCCCTCCCTTCCTCCCTCCTTCCCTCCCTCCTTTTTTCTTTCTTTCTTTCTTTCTTTCTTTCTTTCTTTCTTTCTTTCTTTCTTTCTTTCTTTCTTTCTTTCTTTCTTTCTTTCTTTCTTTCTTCAACACAGAGTCTTATGTAACCCAGGCTAGCCTCAAACTCCCTGTGGAACTGAGGATGACCTTAAGGTCATGATTCTCCTGCCTCTACCTCCTGAGTACTGAAATTACAGGAGTTGACCACCACACCCAGCTTTTTTTTTTTCTTTTAGAGCAAAGATCTTTCGATAGTAGCCCAGGCTATCCTCAAGCTTGCAATCCTCCTGCCTCCCTCATCTCTTGTGCTAGGATTACAGGTTTACGCCACCACATCCAGCCCGCCTCCCCACTGTACAAACCCCCAAAAGAAGCCCTTCCTCTTCAATCTGCAACTTGGGTCATAATTCCCCACAATTCAACTGCTCCTTGTCCATAGCCCTGCACCCACGTTCAAGGAACCTAAGCTACCTTTCATTTTCTTGCCGCCTTGTACTTGAACTCTGGCCTATCAGTTCGGCCCACCCTGGGGTTTTGGAGAGTGTAAATTCTTTGTCTTTCCCTGTCAGCCTGGATTGTCACCTCAATTTCAGTGGTGGAGATGTGAGGCTCTCCCCATCCTGGTCAGTAGGCTGTCTTCTCCCCAGTCCCACTGCCCTGACCTTTCTCCCCTGTCTTCTGTCTTTTCATTTTTGAGGCAGGGTCCCATGTAGCCCAGGCTTGCCTAGAACTTGATGTATAATTAAGTGTGACCTTGAACTCCCGATCTCCCCATCTCTACCTTCCAAGTGCTAGTATTACATCCTGAGTCACCACACCAAGTTCCTGTGGTGCTGGGGCTTGAACCCAGGGCTCTGTGTTTGTCAAGCAAGCCCTCCACCAACTCCATCCCCAGCCCTTTCCTTTTTTGGTTTGTTATTTTGAGACAGGGCTTCATGTAGTCGAGTCTGGCCTCGAACTCCTGATCTGCCCACCTCTGCTGGGATAGCAGGCATACACTACCATGCTCAGCTAGGCGTCTTTGTTATAAACCTTGCTGCTCCCTCTGGGATCCCCAGATGCAGCCCAGAAAACCCCTGTCCCATCGTCACTGCGGTGCCCAGTCCAGCTTACCATACAGAGGCAGTTACTTGGTCCTGGCCCCAGGCAGCCCCCACCAGCAGCATCAGAATCCAAACTGGAGGAGCCATGGGGGACCTCGGAGGTGGCCCTCAGGTAGAGAGGAGGATTACGGTGAGTGTCCCAGGCCACTATATAAACACCCGGCCCTCCTCCCTTCTGAGGAGGCCATTTAAAAAAAAAAATCACAGAATTCAAGAAGTCCCTGGGAATTTAAAGGTATCAGAGTTGAAGTTAGAAGCCCAATAGAAGATTTATAGACAGAAATAGAGAGAAAACAAGAAAAGGGGGATGGAAACCAGTCTAGGATGTCTAACATCAAACAAAAGTAGTTCAAACAGAAATAACAAAGGGAAGGGAGAGAGAGAGAGTGTGTCTCACAGAGCCCTTGCTGGCCTCAGATTCATGATGTAGACAAGGCTAGCCTTGAACTCCTGATCCTCCCACCTCCAAATCTGGGATTATAACTGTGGTAGGCCAGCTAAGAAAGCACAGGAAAACCATCCCAGAACTGAAGCACTCAAATCTCTAGACTAAAAGGTACCTAGTACGGTGAACTCAGAGACCCACAGAAACTACTTTGTGAAATTTAGACTATCAGGGCTGAGAAGAAAGTCGGGAACTTAAAACTATCTAAAAGGATAGTAAGGAACAGGTCACATACTAAGGACCAGGGATCCTCATGGCCTCGGTCTCCTTGGTAACAACCATAGATTCTAAACGCAGCAGAACACTAGCTGAAGAATTCCAATGGAAAAATTATTCAAACGTAACATTCTACAACTGGAGATGGTGGCAGACGCTGTTGACGGCCACGTGAACGGCTGGCAACAATCAGGGACAGAGAACTGAAGGACATACTCATAGAGGAAGAAATGAGAGTTGCCAGGAAATGCTTGAAAGGGTGTGTGTGTGTGTACACACAACTTGCAGGCATTGGCTCTGTCCTTTCACTGTGTAGGTTCTGAGAATCAAACTCTAATTGTTAGGCTTGGCAGCAAGTTGAGCCATCTTGTCAACCCCAATTTCGTTTTTTGCTGAGACAGAGTCTCATAGCCCACATTGGCCATTATGAAGTTGAGGCTGGAGTACCACCATGCCAGTTTATGTGGTGTTGGGAATCAAGCCCCAGGCAATCTCCACACCGATGCGCTACATCCCCAGCCTTTTGTTTTGTTTTTCAGACAGGGTCTCACTCTGTAGCCCAGAGTGGAACTCACCGTCTAGCCCTGACCAACTCTCAAACTAGTGGCAATTCTCCTGTCTCAGACTCTCAAGTGCTGTGATCCCAGCGACTCGGCAGACTGAGGTAAGAGGATTGCAAGGTCAAAGGCATGCTGGGCAGTTTAGTGAGACCCTGTCGAAAAAGAAAAAAAAAGACTGGGTGGGTAGTTTAGTAGTCAAGAGTGTACAGCTAGTGTGGGTGAGGACCAGAGGTTCAATGCCAGCACACGCGCATGCGCGTGCACACACACACCACACTTTTAAATTTTACTTTATTATTTTGTCACCAGGCAGTGGTGGCTCACGTCTTTAATCCCAGCACTCGGGAGGCAGGTGGATCTCTGTGAGTTCAAGGCCAGCCTGGGCTACAGAGTGAGTTCCAGGACAGTCAGGGCTGTTATACAGAGAACTCCTGTGTCAAAGAACCAAAAAGAAGGAGGAAAATCCGTATGTGTCATACTGACAAACAGTTAAATGATTGACGTAGCTGGACGGGATGTTGATGGACAGTTGTAATCACGGTGACAATAATCTGTGTTGGTGGAAACACGACGACAAAGTTTCAAGTGTGCATACATGATTTTTGAAGATGACATTCACCTGTGTGTGTCAGTGCGCACTCTCTCTCTCTCTCTCTCTCTCTCATACACACACACACACACACACACACACACACACACACACACACACATACACCATGGCATCTGTGGAGTTCGGACGACAACTGCAGGAGCTGGTTCTCTCCTTCCGCCATGTCGGTCCCGGGGGTTGAACTCGGGCTGTCTGGCTTGGCTGCAAGCCCCTTCCTGCCGAACTCCTTCCAGCTCTTGTTTCTGTTCTGGTTTTCAAGATAGGAACTTGCAACTTTGGCCTTTGGTGGCTTCACATTTGAAGCAATCCTCCTTCAAGAACCTCCCGGATTCTGGGGTCACGGGCGTGTGCCACCACAGCCATGTGGTTTTGTTTTATTAAAAGAAAGATCCCACTATGTAGCCCGGGCAGGCCTGGAAGGTCTTCCTGCTTCAGCCCTGGATCCTGAGATTACAGACGCATGTCCACATCTGCCTGTACTCAAAAACAAAACAAAACCAAAAAACCTTGCTAGGCCTGATAACACAGGCCTGGCTTCCCAGTCACTCGGGTGGCTGAGGCAGGATTGATCTCAGGTTCAGGCCAACTTAGGCAACTGAACAAGACCTTGTCTCAAAATGAAAAATGGTTTTTATTATCGTTTGGTTTTGCTTTGTGTTTCTTTTCGCCCCCCCACCCCTGTGTCTCTGTGTCTGTGTCTGTGTCTGTGTGTAGGTCAGAGGACAACCTCAGGTGCCATTCCTCAGGAATCTTGCACCTTTTTTTGAAACAGGGTCTCTCGTTGGTCTGGAGCCCTGCTGTAGGCTGGGCTAGCCGGCCAGTGAGCTCCAGGACCCACCAGTCTCTACTTCCCGTCTTGGAATCACTGGGGTTACAGGCACGCACCACCACATCCATCTTTTCACATGGATCTGGAGGTTCAAGCTTGGGTTCTAGTCCTGACAAGGCTGCATTTTGCCAGCTGATCTGTTCCAGAAAAGCGTCTTGTTGCTGTCTCAGAGGGAGCCCTAGGGCCCATGCTTGTTTCAGTCAGCGTTTTCAAAAGGAAAAGAACTGATAGAATAAATACACACATACACACATACATACACATACACACATATATACATACATACATACATACATACACACATACACACATACATATACATATATACATACACACATATACATACATACACACATACACACATACATATACATACACACATACATACACATACACACATATATACATACATATACATATATACACACATGCATACACACATACACACATACATACATATATATACACAATACATATACACATACATACATATATACATACACATACACACATACACATACATACACATACACACATACACATACATATACATACATACATACATATACATAATTACACATATGCATACGCACACACATGTATATATACATAAATAAAATAAATAACCCCCCATTTACATATATATGCATATAAATATGTAAAGGGGATTTATTGACTGGCTTCCAGGAGGAGGTCCAGGTAGCCCAGCACTGGCTGTCTTGTTGCGGTAATCCTTCTGGAGTGCGCGCTCCGGCACCAGGGAGAGTGGAGGAGAGGAGATGTCACAGTGGACCAAAGCCAGCGGAGCTCCTGAAGGACTCTGACAACAGCCCAGTTTACAGTCTCACTTCATACTCTAAAGCTGCAAGGTGGGGCAGGCAAGTGAGGTTTCACAGAAGCACCCATGCAGTCAGCAGGTTGGGTTGTGAAGGGCAGCGACCCCATTGTATTAGCTGTTTATCCGGGTCCTTCTGTTCCAGGTAGGCAAATAAATCAATGAATCGGTACCTAATAATTGGTCTTTTCTGTCTAACCCTCCTTCAGTCTCACACTAAGGAGACCTAGTTGTCATTCAGTCCACGAGGATGGCTGTCTCAGCGGTCCTAATCTGGCACTGAAGGCCTGGTTTTTGGTCCACATTGGAATCCCAAAGCCATCGGTTCTAACACTGATGAGGAGCGTCACAGCAACGGTGATAGAGATTTGTCAATGATGGTGAGGGCAAGCAAAAGGTAGTTTTCTTCTTCCGTGTCCTTTTCCTGGGCTGCCGTCAGAAGGTGTCACTCAAGCCGGGCAGTGGTGGCGCACACCTTTAATCCCAGCACTGGGGAGGCAGAGGCAGGTGGATCTCTGAGTTCAAGGCCAGCCTGGTCTACAGAGTGAGTTCCAGGACAGCCAGGGATACACAGAGAAACCCTGTCTTGGAAACAACAACAACAAAAGATTGGCCATAACAATGTTCAACTACTACTAAAAATAAAAACAGGATGGCTCTTACTACATAGCCCAGGCTGGGCTGGAATTCCTGGTCCTCTGCCTCAGACACCTGAGTGCTGGAATTACAGGCTTACACCACCCACAATGACATGGCTGAAGAATAGGGCCAGAGGCCCCAATCACAGGGAGCAAAGAAAGCCGCTTACGTCACGATTTAGACACCTGAGCCTTAAAAGCTAACCACGCTAAGATGACGTGGTGCCATTATCAATTTAATAGAGTCTAGAACCAGGGGAGAGGCCAGCCTGTGGGCACATCTGGGAGGGATTGCCGAGGTCAGGTGTGTTGAGGTGAATGTGCCCATCATTCCCTGGGCTGGAGTCCAGGGGAGAGAGCCAGCTAAGCTGCAGCATCCATCTCTGCTGCCTGACTGGGGAAGCCATGTGCCCAGCCACCCCGTGTTCCCGCTGCTGTGCCTTCTCACCGTAATGGATCCCGTCCCCTGGATCGCGCGTGGAAACAAACCCCTTCTCCTCTGAGTTGACTTTGCCAGGTGTTTGGTTACATCAATGACAGAGGGTGGACAAGACGCTGGGTTGACACGTGTCAAACTCGCGGTCAGGTGCCCACTGTTTGTTAGTGCTTCTCCTTGACCTTAAAAGCAAGGCTACCTGAGGTCATAAGGGCGGGAAAGCTGCTCCTGACCCCCACCAGCTGCCACACTCGGGAGAGCAGGCCCTGCACCCCACCTGGGCGATACAGTAGAGCCCACCCTGTTGGCAGGTGTGGGTGAGCCAGCCTGGAGGTTCTGAGCATGAGGGAGCTATCCCAACTACTCATGTGTCATGTGACTGCGGGTGTGGGAGAGATGCCCCCCTTACCCCTCACCTCTTACTGCCTGTGACAGACCCTCCTCCTTACCAGCCGCAGCACTCAGCAAGTCAGGCCCTGCTCCTGCCTAGGCGGCATAGTAGGCCCCGTAGGCAGAGGCGTGGGTGAGATAGCCCTGAGGCTGTGGGAGTGGAATGGCTGGCCATACCCCCCTCAATCAAGATGGGCTCCCCCTCCCTTGACCCTGCCACCCGTGGTGGGTGAGGGAGCTGACCTTACCAGCTGCAGCACTTGGGGAAGTGGACCGACCCTACACCTCCCCTCACCTGGCCAGCACAGCAGAGCTGACCCTGCTGGCGGAGGTGTGGGTGAGCCAGCCCAGGTGGTGTGAGGATGGACAAGCTGTCCTCCTTGCTCATCTGCCATGTGATGGCATGGGCAGGAAAGAGACTCCCCCTCCCCCATCACCGCCTGAGGCAGGAGGAAGAGCTGGCCCTGAGGTCCTAAGAGCAGGAGGGCTGCCCCTCCCCCTCACCAGCTGCAGCCCTCAGGAGAGGGGCCCCTGCACCTCACCAGGACAACACAGTGGAGCTGGCCCTGAAGGTGTGGGTGTGGGAGAGGCGGCCCTGAGGCTGTGAAAGCAGAACTGGCCCCGCCCCTTGCTGGTCCCTGTGATGGATGAACCAGCCAGGACAATGCTGGAGAGCTCCCCCTGGTGGTGAGGACAGGGGAGCGCTGGCCGGCTGACCAACCCTGCAACTGCCCAGGCCCAGAACCAGGGTTATGTGCTGACCCACCCCAACACCACCCCGTCTGTGATCTGCTGGAGCATGTGAAGGGACCAGTCCTGCAGACCCAAAGCTGCAGGATCTCCATGCACAGGGCAACAACAGGATGTCCAGGAAGAGTCCCAGCGAGGGTCCAGCATCCATGGTGTAGCAGAGACCAGGGTATCAAACCAGACCAACGATTCTTTGCGATGAACGCCTGCGTGTAAAAACATATCGATAAAGGGGTTCACTGCGTGACTCACTGTGTCACACTGCAGCTTCCATGATGAGATTTTCCCCTTCCTCCCTCTCCCCTCCCCTTTTTTCTCTTATATTTTATTTTGTTTTATTCTGGGGTGGGAGGAGGGAGATGAGTGGGATCAGGAGGCATGATGTAAAAGATACAAAGAATAAATAAAAAGAAAGTTAAAAAAAAAAACAAGCAAGACTAAAGTTGGGCATGGTGGCATACTCCTTTAACACAGCACTCACCAGGCAGAGACAGGCAGAGCTCTGTGAGTTCCAGGCCAGCCTGGTCTACAGAGTGAGACCCTGTCTCAGAAAAAAAAAAAAAAAAAGCAAGACTAATATGGCTAGACAGTCAACACAGTGGTTAAAAGTGCTTGCTGCTCTTCCAGAGGACCAGAGTTCAGTTCCCAGGACCTACACTGGGTGGCTCACAACTGCTCTAAGTCTAGTTCTAGAGGATCTGACACCCTCTTTTGGCCTACACACACACACACACACACACACACACACACACACACACACTAAATAAATAATAAATAAATAAAATAAATAAATAAAAATAAAAAATAAACCTTTTAAAGAAAAAAATAACAAAACTAAGCCATATGTAGTAGTCCAGGCATGCACTCCCAGCACTTGGGAAACTGAGGCAGGAAAAGCCTAAGTTCCAGGACTGCCTGGGCAATTTAGCCCCTGTTTGGTCTCAAAAACCAAACAGACAAGCAGAAACACAGCCCGCCCCCTAGTCTATTAATTCCAACTCCCAACAGCCTACAAAACAGATTTCACCCTTGCCCATTCCTAGCAAGGGAGCCAGGCCTCAGTGGGATGTCTGGTGCGGAGACAGGCAGGCGAGTGCCTGGAAGGCTCCAACAGTTCCCAACTGCGCCTGCAGAGGGCACTGTAGTCCAGGAGCTAACTTCGCCTCCCTCAAAATTCTTTCCTCTTGCCGACTCCTCCCACCTGCATTACAGACACAAGAGCACTGGAACACACACACACACACACACACACACACACACACACACACACACACACAC